TAATCGATCCATTTGCTAAAGTTAACATCTTTTCATGCTATCCAAAATTTCCGGAATTTTATTCATTCCATCTTTTAACGGATTATTATCATCAAATGACACAATAACAAATTAATCGATCCATTTGCTAAAGTTAACATCTTTTCATGCTATTCAAGATTTTCGGAATTATACTCATTCATTGATTTAACAGATTATTATCATCAAATGACACGATAACAAATTAATCGATCCATTTGTTAAAGTTATCATTATTCATGTTATCCATGATTTCCGGAATTATATTCATTTATTCTTTTAACAGATTATTGCCATCAAATGATATGATAACAAATTAATCGATCCATTTGCTAAAGTTAACATCATTTCATGTTATCCAAGATTTCCGGAATTATATTCATTTATTCTTTTAACAGATTATTGCCATCAAATGATATGATAACAAATTAATCGATTCATTTGCCATAGTTAACATCTTTTCATGCTATCCAAAATTTCCGGAATTTTATTCATTCCATCTTTTAACGGATTATTATCATCAAATGACACAATAACAAATTAATCGATCCATTTGATAAAGTTAACATCATTTCATGTTATCCAAGATTTCCGAATTATATTCATTTATTGATTTAACAGATTATTATCATCAAATGATACGGTAACAAATTAATCGATCCATTTGTTAAAGTTAACATCATGTCATGTTATCCAAGATTTCCGGAATTATATTCATTCATTCTTTTAACAGATTATCATCAAATGATACGATAACAAATTAACCGATCCATTTGCCATAGCTAACATCTTTTCATGCTATCCAAAATTTCCGGAATTTTATTCATTCATTCTTTTAACAGATTATTGTCAATGTTACAATATGATAAGATATTAAAGTATGAATTTCTTTTCATCTCTCAAATAAAATAAATGAATTGAAAAAATTCTCAAAATTTCGGTAAATTTAAAAATTTGTAAATTTTCAAAATTTTTAGATTAGCAAAAAGACAAGAGAAAAGGTATGTTAATTACCTTGTTTGACCATGTGATCCACGTTTAATTTCAAATAATGCTTGAGAAAGTTGCTTTTGATTAACACCGCACAAATTTGGCATATATCGTTGACATTTATGATGGCATACAACGCCACACACTAAAATTTTATTTATACGATCATCTTGTCGAAATGTAATTAATAAATTATAAATCATTTTGAAAGTTTGAAATACTTAAAAAAAAAAAAACAAATTTGATATTCGTTAAATTTATTGATTATAATTTGAACAGGTATGAAAACAGTTAATACTAACAACGACTGATAAAGCATGCAAATTGATTATCATTTAATTTCATAACAAAAAAAAATTTATGGAATATATTTTATAGGAAGAATTTAAAATAACAAAAACAAGGTGACCTTTTTTTATAGCTAAAATTTGAATAATTCTTTTTGTTATTTTTAGCATAAATTATAATTAGTAACTTTTTCTTGTAGTTGAAATTAGAACAATTTCCTTTCATTTCTTTTTAACATAAATTATAATTAGTAATTTTTTCTTATAGTTAAAATTATAAATAAGAAGTAAAAATATACCTTCACATTTTAATCCTTGCTTAAAAAGACCATAAAGTAATGAGCCACAATGATCACAAAATGTTGGACTTTTAAAATTGTACATTTTAAAACGATGTGGTATATCGATTTTAAAACGTTCTTTTAAATACTGAAATGAAAATTTAAAAAAAGAAGAAGATAGAAAATAAAACAATACGAATAATTGCATATAAACAAAATAAGAAAACAATCTGATCTTATATTATTAGTCTAATCGAAAATAACAATAAAAATAATTTCATATTAACAAAGTATGAAAAACAATCTCATTATCAGTCCTCCTTTATCAATTTACATTCAGTCTTCCTTTATCAGTTTACATTATCAGTCTTCGTTATCTTTTTTCAAAATAAACAAAATTCGTAATTTTAAAAAATTTAAATTTTATATTTAATAAACTATCTGAGAAATGAATTAACGAAAAAAAACATACAATTGTATCTTTCGTCCTTTCAGCTGAACCAGGACAATGGCTAATCATTTTTTCATGACATTTCTTATGAACAGCTGCACTACACAATTGACATTGATATCCTTGTTTATTAAGGCCCCTACAAGTTGGCACCTAAATAAGTTTAATAGCTAAATAAATAAATTTTAATATTTATTCTTTTTTTCTTTTAAACATTATTTACTAAACATATTCAGCTTGTTTTTTTTCCTTTTTATCATTAATTAAAATTTGTCAATAAAACAATGAATTTATCATTTCTAATTTTTTTGCTATAAAAAAATATATTTAAAATATATTTCAAAAAAAAAAATGAAAAATGAAAAAACAAACAAATTAATTAAAATAATTAAGTCGTAAAAAATGTAGAAGAGAAAAAAAGCAACCAATTTAAATAATTGTATTTGTTTCTTTTTCTTTTCCGATCGATTTAAAATATACGACGAAGTTGAAGAACAGAATAATTAATATTATATTATTTGCTTTTTTGTTTTTTAAATTAAAATTTCAATATAATTTTAATTTTATTTACAAATAATTATATGTAAACATTAGGAATAAATAAATAAATATTTTCGCAATGTAAATAAACGAGGAAAAATAAGAAATAAAAAATTGAAAAGTAAACAAACCACATAAAATCGGAACAAAGAGAACAAAATGTTGGTTGTCGAAAAAATGTTGCAACAAATTGATGTCCACGAATTTCATGTACTCGAGCATGCTTTATAGCACCACGACGACGTTGTAAACCAGGACCTTGTATGGAATTATCGCTTGATTTATGCTCCATTGGACGATCGTTTATTTTTGCTGAAAGAAAGAGTAAAAAATAAACAAACAAACGTTTACAATTCAATATCAAAAAAATTATAACATTATTTGTTAGTAAACAAAAATTAATTATTCAAATAATTTATTATACGGCTTAAATTTTTCACTTAAAGGAAAAGAATAAAAGACTGAAATTAAATACTTAAGATAATTATTTATTTTAGAATTGTTTAAAAATTAATGATTGCATCAAAAACAAAAAACAATAACAAACAAAGGAATAATTAAACTTTTCATTCTGCTAGTAAATAAAAGATTTAAATGATAAATAAACTATTAATGATTTTAAAGGAATAATTAAACTTTTCATTCTGATAGTAAATAAAAGATTTAAATGATAAATAAACTATTAATGATTTTAAAGGAATAATTAAACTTTTCATTCTGATAGTAAATAAAAGATTTAAATGACAAATAAACTATAAGTGATTTTACTGATAATAAAAATAGCAAAATATTTGATATTATATTTCAAAAAAAAATAATAATAGTTAAGTTTTTGTTTTCTTTTTTCAAATTAATGAAAAAAATTTTTTAAAGAAATATTTAAAATTACATAATTTAAATATTAGTTAAATATGAAAAAGAAATTGCCATTACAAAAATTTCAAAATTGAATGAAACAAAAATTTTCAATCGATCCGATCCGATTTAAAAAAAATTTTCAAATATTCCATTTTAGCTTTTCGTGTGAATAATTAAGAGAATTATTTTAAAATAAGAGTGGAAAGAATTTTGCTTAAAAATCAATAGTAAATGAGCTAAGTTCATTGAATTACATACTTTATCAAACTTTGTTGATATGACTTATCAATTTGCTAAAAAATCAGTAGTAAAATTAAAACAGTTAATTATATGGAAGTAAATGAGCTTAGTTTATTGAATTACATATTTTATCAAACTTTGTTAATATGACTTATCAATTTGCTAAAAAATCAATAGTTAAATTAAAACAGTTAATTACATGGAAATAAATGAGCTTAGTTCATTGAATTTTATACTTTATCAAATTTTGTTGATATGACCTATCAATTGAACAAAATCATTTTCACTGAATTTATTATACGCTCTCATTAAAATGCATTAATTATAACAAATTGAAAATTTTTTAAATGAAATTAAAATAATATTTCCTTTCACAAAGTGTTTTTAAGAAAGAAGAAATTCTTCATCATTTTTATCAAATTAAATTTAAAAAAATTTCAATTTCAATTATTGATTTCATCAAATGTAATAATATTATACACTAAATTGAAATTTTCAATTTTAAATTGTTGAATTTGTCGAATGTGTTAATAATATATCGAATAAATTTTACTTTGAATTCCAAATTTTATTATTATCAAAACTGATAAGTAAATTTTTATTTTGAATTCTAAAATTAATTACTATCCAATCAATTGATTAGAAGATCAGTAAAATGATAAAGAAAAAGAAATATTAATAATAAATGGAAAAGATTTCATCAAAATTAATTTCGATTTGTGGTATTTCAATGAGTAAAATATTATCCTAAAATGATAGTTGTAATTTTATCTTTCATTTTTATCATTTATTTCGATTAGGCATAGCAATAGGGAGAAATTGGTAAAACGGTTTCTTAAAATGTTGAATATTATTTACGAATATTTTTTTGATAAAAAATGATTTCCAATTATCAAAGTGATTTCTAATTTGGTAAAAAGTGATTTCCAATTTGGTAAAAAGTGATTTCCAATTTGGTAAAAAGTGATTTCCAATTTGGTAAAAAGTGATTTTCAATTATCAAAATGATTTCCAATTATTTAGAAATAACTTTATGGCTAATTTACCTGTATATAACTGCCTAAAACCACTAATTACCTGTATATATTCGCCTACAGTCACAAGAATGTAATAATTTTTTCCTTCACAAGAACAGCAAAACAAGATCATAATAAAAACGAAAAGTAGAAAAATCATTGCAGTTATATGTATGTATCACGTGAGAGAGAGAGAGAGAGAGAGAAAGAGAAGGAAGTAGAAGAGGAAGAGAATGGAGAGGGGGAGGGGAAAAAGGAAGTGTGACGAAATAAAATGATGAAAAATTTCAACAATTCGAAATTAAATTCTTTAAACTCATAATTAACTTTCGTATTAATTGTGTAAATAAAACAATTTAAATTTAAAAAAAAAAATTTAATTAATCAATAATTACAAGTAGGAAAAAATATTTTTTTGAAAATGTAACAAAAAAAAGAAAGAATTTTTGAAAAAACTTTTCTAATCGAATCATTATTATCTTAAAGCATTAATTAATGACAATCATAAATGATTGATTAATTACTGATTGCATTGCATTACTTATTGTTTTATGCATTTGTTATTTTAGTTTTTCATAAACAGCAATGTTTACATAGTAAATAATAATACGAAATTAAAATTTCATTCATTGAAATATTTATAACAAAAATTTTGCATATTTAAAATTTGAATTTCTTTTTTACAAAAATAAATTTTAATTTTAGGAATTCCAATTTCACTTTGTTCTTTTCTTTTATTTCAAATAGAACCTCCCGTTGCGAGTTCCTCAATTCGATTTGCTTCAAGCTCAGCTTGTCTGAAATTTTCACCAGACTGTAGGTTTCAAATTATATTTTTACAGCTAGACATTTCATACAATTAACCAGAAATCCT